AAAGCAAGCACATAACAGTAACAAAGAAGTTAAGAGACGCATCAGAATGTTTAAATAAAACCTTGCCAAGAAGATTTTCCACAAGATCAACAGGTCAAGGCTAAAAAACCCCCAAACAGCCATGGCGAGACAATTAAATCTGAAAGCTATTCAGCTCACTGAGTGAGAGAAATAACTTTTTTTTTTTGGTCAATTGCTCACTTCCCAGATGGCATTTCTAAATACAGTATAATAATTGCAAAACCTTCACTTTATTCTATGAATAGAGTAAGAAAAGGAGAAGACAGGCAACAAAGAATCAAATATTCAAGTCATTTGCAGCAGATTCCCCTTGGAAAGACCACTTCCATGATGAATAAAAGCAGGATTGGGAGAACCCAGTTCAATTTTGAACACTCCATTCTATAAATGCTCCTAAATCTGGAAAAGCTCAAGTTCCAACTGAAACTGAGAATTTACCACAATCCAGGGAGCTTTTGACACAGGTCCTCCTACTTCTTAGTTTGCTTGGACAGGTGCTCATTTGGTTACGATAGCAAATCGAGGAAGTGTTGAAGATGGAGTTGTCAGCTGGCAATTTGGAAGTGAGGAACACAGAAAGTTCTGGGCAAAACTTCAAGAATTGGAAGTTGTGAGCCTTGGGAAAGGTAGTAGAGGAAGAAAGGGAACTATATCAAGAGCCACTGAGCTCAAACAAAGCCTATAATGTTTCTTGTGATTTTTTAATAAAATTTTTAGAGGTATTTTCCAATCTTAGCTTTGGTATGTAAAGTGTTTATGTTTACCCTCAGTGACACTTATGTGTGATTTTTAGCTTTCTGTACTTGAAACATAATGGTGGTATTATGTACAAGTGGTCCATAACTAATCAATTAGTGATAATTTATTGATTTAAAATGTACAAACTCACAACAGACCTGTGAAGCAGGTAGTGCAATTATTAATATAATTGAATATGTCAATATAGATATCAATTTTAAAGAGTTAACTCATTGATAATTTCTTGAGTTAAAGAATTCTATGCACTGGGTACTCTATAAAGAGAAGATTTTCTGATATGTCCTGCTCCTTGGAAAAGGAGGAAGTTAGTCCACAAAGTTTTTGGACAATTTCCTAATTGAAACACAAAACCAGATAAAGGTTCCTATTCTTTCTAAAAGAAATTCTCTAGTCAAGGATTTTAGTTGATCAAGAAGTTTGAGGCAGTTGGTTGGTTGTTCGGTTGTTGTCCTTTGTGCTCAAAGAAAACCAAAATGACATCACTATGTTGCGGTCACTATGGACTATGGCTGATCAGATCAATACAAGCTTGGAAGGCTATACCACAGACAAGGCACAAATAGTCCATGTGAACATTTGGAGTGGAGATGTCTCTAAATTTGCATATCTCATGTTTCTTTTGAGCTACCAAAGTTCTTTTTTGCTCGTAGAGCATAGCACCTTCTTCAGTGTGGGGCATACCAGGCTGGACAGTCTTGTGCTAGTGTCTCCCATGTCTCAAAAACCATTTCAAAGTTCTTCAGAGAAACCTTGAGAGTATTCCTGAAATGCTTCTTCTGACCTCCATTGAGTGCTTGTCTTGTGTGAGTTCTCTGTAAAATAGTCTTGTAGGCAAACATACATTTGGCATTTGAACATCGCCAGCCCATCATAATTGTGCTCTCTGCAGTAGTGTGAATGCTTGGCAGTTCAGCTCAAGAAAGGACCTTGGTGTCTGGTACTTATCTTGCCAGGTGACCTGTAGAAACTTCCTAAGACAATTCAAATGGGAGTGATTCAGTTTCCTGTGCCAATCTCATTATCACTGTGTATATCTCTGGAAAGTATAATGCCAAGGTTAGTGAATTTATCCATAGTATTCAAAACTTCTCCATTTGCTGTAACCTATGGTTCCACATATGGATGGTGTGGTGCTGGCTGGTGGAAAACCTGTTTTGTTGGTGTTAATTGCTAAGCCAAAATTAGCATAAGCAGCATCTCAGCCTCAGAGGCTTCATTAAGTGCACAATCATCTGCAAATAGAAAGTCACATACCAGCTCTCCCTCTACTTTAGTCTTGGCTTGTAGCCTTTCTCAAAGGTAGGACCTACCCATAATGGAAATTAGCTCTTATCCAAGGACCGACCTTACTACATTAGAGAAGCTTATTAATAGGACTGGACTGCTAAGTGGTACCATAGTGCATAGAACTTCAGGCCTGAAGTCAGGAAGACTGATCTTCCTGAGTTCAAATCTGGTGTCAGACACTTACCAGCTGTGTGGCTCTGGGGAAATCACTTAACCATGTTTACCTCAGTTCCTCATCTGTAAAATAATCTGGAGAAGGAAATGGCAAACTATTCCATTACCTCTCCCCATAAATCCCTAATGGGGTCCAGACTAAAAAAAAACTTAATAACAACTTTGTTTCTTAAGGCTCTCCATTACTCCCCTGACATATATTTATTTCACCATATGCATGTTGAATCTTCCATGTTATCCTCTATTCCCAAACCTCCTCCTTCCCCCATAATCTTTAAGGACAGAAAGTGTTTTTTCTTTGTTTGTTTGTCTTGTATCTCCAGGACTGATCCCAGTGCCAGGCATCGTGGTGCCTAGTCAACAGTTAATATTTATCAATAAACGTATTGTGTTGACACTCAATAAATTGAATGGAATAGAGGATTTGGTCTGTGGAAATGGTACATTATAATATCTTGTGGGCTGTAATTACCTATTTTGTCCAAATCTGTAATATATCATTCCCCAAAGAAAATTTCAGAAGATAAAACATCTTCATACACATTCAGCAAAGTATAAAATATTCAAACAAAATATTATATACCCCATTTAAAGAGAGGAGAATTGTTTTAAATGTCAGTCATTTGAATGGAAAACTATAATAAAAGCTCAAACGATAAGCATCAGTCCTGATCCTTTTCTGTCTCTGGCTTGAGAGATTCCAAAGCTGCTGCTACTTCTGTCACCCCTACCTCGTCTCACCGTGGGTGTTGCATCCACTTGGGCCAGCCTCCTCCCATGTCACAAATCTGTCTTTCCAACCTCCAATGTTATCGTGGACTAGAAGAATGTCTCATCTGACTTTTTGTTGGTTCTGCCACTCCAGAATTCAATTTGAGGTGTTATTTTAAAGTTGTTTGGAAGGGAATGTGGGGAGAGCTCATGCTTTCTCTACCATCTTGAATCTACCCCTGGAAGTCCAGGACTTAGATAATTCTTGATAGATTGATAGCAGAACTACTGTCCCACAGAAAAGAAAGCAAATGCTTCACTATAGAGAAGTGAGAACACTAACAACTTCCTACAGACGCAGGTAGAGACAGGCTGGTATAGTGGAAAAAGCGGTGTATTTGGGGTCATATGTCTTTAAAGTTGAAACATCATTGGTTTATAGATGGAAAGGGCCTTAAACATTATCTAGTTTTAGGCCCTTCCTTTTACAGATGAAGAAACTGAGCAAAAATGCCAGATTTGCCAGAGGTCAATCACTCATATCATTCTCTTATTCAATCATTCCAGGGGCTCTCTATTACCTCCTGGATCAAATATAAAATCCTTTGTTTAGCATTCAAAGCCCTTTCTTCTTTCCAGTATTCTTACACCTTACTCTTCTTTACATACTCTGATCCAGTGATACTGGCCTCCTTGTTCCTTGCACAAGGCACTATCTTGGGACTGTTCATTTTCTTTTTTTTTTCTTTCTGATGAGGCAATCAGGGTTAAGTGACCTGCCCAGGGTCACACAGCTAGTAAGTGTCATGTGTCTAAGACTGGATTTGACCTTGGGTCCTCCTGACTCCAAGGCCAGAGCTCTATCCCCACTGTGCCACCTAGCTGCTTCTGGACTGTGCATTTTCACCAGCTGTTCCTCATGGCTAGAATTATCTTTTTCTTTGTCTCCTGGTTTTACTGGTTTCCTTTGAGACTCAGGTAAAATCTTTCTGGTTTTTCTTTTAATTTAAATTAAAAATTTCTTTTAAACATTCATTGTAAAATTTTGAGTTCCAAATTCTTATTCCCTCCAGCCCCTCCCCCATCCATTGAGAAGGCAAGCAATATATACCCCTTATACATGTGAAGTCACACAAAACATATTTACATATTAGCCACGTTGCAAAAAAAAAAAAAAAGAGCAAGAAAAATAACGAAAGTGGAAAAAATATGCTTCAATCTGCACTCAGGGTTTATCAGTTCTCTCTGGAGGAGGATAGCATTTTTCATTATAAGTCCTTTTGAATTATGAAAATAACATCTTCTGAAAAAAAAGCCTTTCCTAGTCTGATTAATAGTTAGTGTCTTCCCTCTGAGATTACCTTTAATTTATTAATTTGTTAATTTATTATATTATTAATTGTATTAATGTATTACAATTACAATCATTAAATTATTAATTTACAACTTGCTTGAACATAGTTGCTTGCATCTTGTCTTCAGGTTCCCTACCCCTACCCCCATTAGATGGTGAACTCTTTGAGGGCAGGGACAGTTTGCGCCTTTCTTTGTACTCCAGGGCTTAGCACAGAATTTATTAAGCACAGGAGCTTAAGAAATACTTCTTGGTCCCATGAGTATCTATTATGTTCCAAGTCTAGAGTTTATGGGTTTATAGATTTAGGTCCTGACAGAACCTCAGACTGTCAAGTTCAATCCTTCATTTTACAGATAAGGAAATGATGTCTGAGAGAGTTTAAGGGAATTGCCCCTGGGATCCCTGCCCCATTTCCCCCCTGCCCCCCTTAATATTGAGTTGGAACGTTTGATTTCAAACATAGGCATTGCTGTTTCCCACTGGTGTGACCTCTCTGGGCTTCCCTTTCCTCATCTACACAAGGAGGTTAGACTTGAAGACTTCGAGTACTAAATCCCTAGGCTCGCTCAGAACAGCGGGCGCGTGCCCCAGCCTCCTCGCGCGCGCTCCCGATATCGGGAACGCGGCCCAATCCCCGAGCGTGCACGAGCCCGTTGGCAGACGCGAGGTGGAGAGGGCTGGGAGAGGAAGTTGGACCATTATGGCGGCGGTAGCGGGAGCCTCCGCGCGGCTGCGGCGATACGTGGTGGCCCCGGCGGGGCAACATAGCGCCTCTCTGATCATGCTGCACGGTTCAGGTGGCTTTCGGATTTATGCGTCGATTTTCTGTGGCGTGGGTTCAGGGAATGCCTCCCCCTCCTCCTTCTCATGATCCCCTTCCCGTCGGGGCCTGCCGGGCGGGCTTCTGACTGGAGAGCCGCGTGCCGCTCTCGGCCTGGGCTCCGCTGCGCAGGCCCAGAACTCCCATGCCCCTCCCCGCCCCCACCCTGCCCCCCATCTCATCAGTCCTCCACCGCCTGCCCAGCACCCGGCCTTGGAGTCATCACCCTTTGCAATCCCACAAGATTTAGGATCTTTGGGTCGTAGATCTAGAAATGAAAGAGACTAGGCCAACCCCCTTACTTCATTTCACAGATCAGGAAACTGAGGCACAACTAACTTGCCTGAGGTTGCACAGGTAGTAAATGTTTCTCCGTCGCGTCACTTGATTCTCCTGGGAGGCAGTTTGACATAGTCCATAGAGCCCTGGCACTGAAGTTCAAGGAGAGCAAGGTTCACGTGCTGCCTATGACCTCCATCAGCTGTGTGACCACGACCCGTGCAAGTCCACTTAGTAGGATAATAATATATATTTATATACTGCTTTGCATATCTCGCATCAACCCCTGGGAGGTAGATCTTAGTAGCTCCGTTTTACAGTTGAGGGATTTGAGGTTAAATGATTTTACCTAGCTAAGGTTTTCAAGCTGGTAAATGTCTGAGGCTGAATTCGAACTCACATCTTCCGGACTACAGCCTCAGCGCTCCATCTGTTGTGACAGATCGGCAATTTTTTTGAAGATTTAAGTTGTAGAGGATTTCCCATTGGGCATTAGTAGAAAGTTTCCTCACCTTGTTTTCTTCGACTTCAAAGCCCAGTCACTGCTTTCTTTGAGATCAGGCGCAGTCTTTTGCCTCTTTTTTTGTATTTTTGTATCCCCAGTGCTTATCACAGTGCCTGGCGGCGTAATAGGAGCTTAATAAATGTTTGTTGATTATTGATTAATACTATCTTCCATCAACAGCTTTCACTTACTACTTTAGACCTTAGATCTAAACTGATGGCACTGTTGCCTTTAAAACATTTTCATTTGTCTTTGAAAGTTTAATATAAGGGATATTTGAATTTTCCACTGTCTTGGAAAAGCAGCGCTGTACAGTGGAAAGGATGGCGAATTGGGAGTGAAGAGAATTTTTAAAAGTCTCAAACCTTACTTGTAATTTGTGTGTGGTCTGGGGCCATATCTCTTGCTCTATGCTTCATTTTCCTCTTATATAAAATGAAAGGTTGAACTAGATGACTGTATCTTTAAGCTCTAAATACGTGAACCCATGATTTTATTGTAAGCAGAGTGCTTTGTAAATCATGAAGCAGTATGTAAACATGAGCTATTATGTGTTTTGGAGGTTTACACAAAATAAAGAGACAGTAACATTTGGAAAGGACTGTTAAAATTATCTTGTCTCTCATTTTACAGATGAAAAAACTGAGGCCCAGAGAAATTAATTAATCCACCCCATTTCTGGAACCCAGGTCTTAAAGATTCCCCAAATTCAGACTGAATTTCAAAACAGTTATAATCTGGATGGGGAAAAAGTCAACATGTGAAAAGTTATTACAGTTGCAGATGACAGTAAATTGGTTTTTGTGGGGTTTTTTGCTTTTTTTTTTTTTTTTTTTGATTAGGCAGTGGGGTTAAGTGACTTGCCCAGGGTCACACAGCTAGTAAGTGCTATGTGTCTGAGGCCAGATTTAAACTCAGGTCCTCCTGAATCTAGGGCAGGTGCTCTATCCACTGTACCACCTAGCTGCCCTGTAAATTATTTTTAATACATAATCATCAGATACAGAAAGACAATGGGTTGAGTACTGGATTTAGAGTTGGAAGACATAGATTCAATTCCTGCTTCGACCCTTACTGGAACTGTTACCAAGAATGCTAGAGGAGTTGATGGAAAAATTTCCCCTGAAATAAATATCAGGTCCTTCTGGTACATGTACATGATTATCAAATGGATGGATAATAATTGCCATAGTTAAGAGACTAAAGAAATGACTTAAGCTGAAATAGGGAATCCTTTACAAAGAAACTGGGATTTACTCTGAATCTTAGATAAGCATTAAAGCATCATAAGTTTAGAGTTTATAAGCCCTAAATTGAGTATAACCCAATCATTTAGTCTAACTAATCATTTAGTCTAACTCTCTTTGTTGTGCAGACCAGGAAGGGGAGGCCCAGGGAATTGAAGTGATTCTAAATCCAGTCTCATTTGTTCATACCACTACACACTGCTTCCTGTAGAAGAGATCATATTGTGTCTTGAACTGTGGTTTAGGGGGTTTTGGACATTATCCTATAGGCAATAGGTATCCTTTGAAAAATTTTCAGTGGAGGAGTTATTAGGGATATAGGAAGATTAGTTTTTATGTCACATGTGGGATGAATTAGGGCTTTGGAAAAGGTAATAGGGAAAGATTAAAAAAGGAAATTGCAGGTAGGCTATTGAAGGTCTTGAGATTATATGAGCCTAAACTATGTGGTGTCAGAGAAATAGGAATGGATAAGATAAACCATTTTAGGAAGAAAGAATTCATAGGATTTTGTGACTGGATGAGGGAACAAAAGAAGAGGGTGGAGCCAAAGATGGCTCCACAGTTTTAAGCTTGTAAAAGTGATGGTAAAAATTTCATACCCTAAGTGCCTAGAAAACCTAAAATGATCATGTTTGATTAAAAAAATCTTTTAAGTGTACTCCAAGTCTTATTTTCTTATTCCCTTTGCTTCTTTTTTCAAATGCCTTTCCTCATGTTTAATTTGAAAAGAATTACTGACATTTTTTTACAACTTGTAACATATTCTTGGTTTATTATATTTTTTCTAACTGATGAAGGAAATTTTCCAAAGATTTCTTTTGAAATGCAAGTAGTGGAAACCTTTTATATTAAGTTCTCAATAAATACTTGTTGAATTGAATAATGCTGCTGTTGCGGGGGGGGGGGGGGGGGGGG